CTGCTGAACTGTTAATCCAGTTCTAGCATGAGGTTATTCTTAGGATGGTCTCAGATGCAGAATTAAAGAAAGGAGATTAATGCAAGGAGATTGCCCTGCTGGAAGTGACTGAGCAAGATTTCTATTGCTTAGCATGGTAGATAGCTAAATATCTGAAGGGATAAGACTTCCCTGTCAGTTTCTTGTCTAGTAGCATCAGCAATTAGTAACCAGTTTAATTTATTTCCAGAGAAGCTCTGTTTGCTGTCAGCTGAAGGGGTTTCAACGTACATGCACAAGAAGTTCCAGTTAATTTGCTGAGTCTTGCTGTCAGTGCTGAAGAAATTTCCTGACCCTCACCCTGTCACTGCATTGATTGTCCAATCCCCTGTTATCTGTCTCCTTTCACTTCATGCTATTACTTCCTAAGTCATTCTTTAGCATCTTGTTAGGTGATTGCATTGATCCTCTTTCTGGCTAGTTAGCTTCCTCTGAGCACTCCTTTGCTCTCCTGAAGTCTTGCACACATTTACATAAACATACTAACAGAAGGAAAGGAGAAGATGAATTTCCTTTGGCAATTTCATGATGGAGTGTTGAGCATGGATATTCCGAGCAGCACAACAGGGAAAAAAAAGAAAGCTGAAATAATATCCTACTGATGAATTTATAGCTCATTCAGAAAGAATTACTTTAGACCCTCAGTCACTGACACAGCTATGGGGATAAAGCATGAAGCCAGCAGATGCCAGACTTAAACTAGAGCAAACAATAGGAAAATTCCATACAGTGAATGACTTGAGCAGTAGAATCTGAGAAGGGAAGGAAAGAGGAGAAAGAGATGATCCACTGCACCTCTGGTGAGCTCAGTCTTGAAAAAGAAGCTTCAGATTGGTTGTTGTCCAGACAGTTCACATATTTAACATATTTCCTTGTTTTAAAAGAATAACCCTATAAATCCAAATTCTTCTTTTTATAACAGAGTTAAGACTTATGGACTTGTCCTTGCATTCTTTATCTCTTCATAAGTGTAATGAGCAGGATACATTCCAAAAGAAGGGCTTAAGAAGCTGTAAATCCAAAAGGGTACATATTAGCAGCAGAAAGTGGTTGTGAAATCCTTAACCTTGTTTAAAACTATTTTACATGATGGCCTCAGTCAGAATCTGACCTACATTCTATCTTCTCTTTGTTTCACAATGGATTTTCGGGTGTTCCTGATTTTGTCCTCACCTATATTGAAAAACAACTGACAGCTTCCTGAGCATATCATTGAATCATCTGTTAAGAAAACTGACTGATACTAATGCATGATCAAGGCTTTCTAAGTGCCTCAGCACAGCTACATTCCTTAGCTCAGCAAGAAGAACCCAGGAGTACTTCGAGGTGGATACTGTTGTGGTTTTCATTGCCCATCAGAACTACTGGTTAGCTGTGTAGCTGTGCTTATCCCTAAACTGAACCTGTGAGGCAACAACAGTACTGCCTAGTGTTACAGACCTGATTTACCTGGCTAAATTAGGAGCTTAGTGTCCCTTGACTCCATAGCTGATGGAGAGAATGGTTTATAACAGGAGCTTAACTTAGATGTGCTGAATTATCTTCTCAGGGTGCCTAAATAGGTCTCTGCTGAATCATTCTCTGAAAGCCACCCTCTCCATCCAGTGACTTAATGGTACTTTATGGAAATGAAGCATCTACTGTAGGCAGCTCTTTTAAGAGATTAAGTTATAGATTTTACCTACTGCTGCTTTGACACACAGGAACTAGAGTTGTAAAATGTAAAATTCATGCTGTGTTTGATGGGTCAGGAAGAAAATTAGTTAAATATGCAGAACTTAAATTAAAATGTTTTGAAGGTTCTAGATTCAGGTGACATTTATTTTTTATATTCACTTTGGCTCACCTAGTACTTGACATTTATATGCTCAGCACATTGCTGTAATGCATTAAAAATGAGTTGATAATTATAATGGTATGCTTTAAATGAGACTAAAATGTTTCCCCAATTATGGGACAGAAAATTAAATGAGAGTAAAAGCGTACAGTATAAACATGTAAGTCATGGACCTTTGAGGCATCAGACACAGCGTGCCATGACATTTACCAGTACTTCTGGGTTCTTCACCAGCTTGTTGTTTGGCCTGGGATCTCTGGTTCTTTAAGCCCAGTTGGAGGTTCCTACAATAAGTAGAAAGGTTTGACAATTTTGCCCTAAATTTCTGAAAGCTGAGTATAGTAGTTATTAGGTGTCTCCTTCTTAGCATGCTTGTAATTTGATTAGTTGTTTACAAGGGCTTTGGAGAATTTTGTGAGAAAGGTGTTGTGTGTGTGTCCTCCCACATTGTCTCTTGCCCAATCCTTCCTCCACTCTGAGGTCAATTGAGGGATAAAGGCCTGCCCAGTAAAGCATCAACATATTAATTGTAGCATTGTTTATACTGTTGAAACCCCGCCTCCTTCCCATTTCCTGCCTCTGAAACACACATTCTCCAGGAACACGGAGTCTTTTGCAGCCAAAATAATGGCAGACATGCCAAGCTTGCTTCACTGATATTGAATCTAAACACTTTTACTCAGAGTACCTCTTTATTTTTTTCCTATTTGTCTGATCCTAGATGCAATGTTCATATCAAATCATCTTACAATAAGGAACTAATGCAACTGACGCATGTGTAAGCTAAAGAAGGAATACTTCTCAAAGCTGCAAGGCTAAGAGTTTGAAGGACACATAAAAATATCTCAGAATGGTTCCCTGGTTTGTTCAGGATGGTTCTTTATGTTATGAATATTTTTATTTCTCCTCTGTTCTTCAGCATTTTTCTAGTGTAGTTTCTAGTGACTTAGATAATGGGGTGCTGTTGGTGACAAGAAATGCTCCTTTTATGGAATGATAAATACAATGCTCAGTTATGCTTTTATTACTTGTAGCCCATGCCCATTAATGTACACTTATTCAAATGATTCCTATTTGTCTGTGTAGTTCTGATACTTCTCTTTGTTTTGCTTTATCCTGCAAATTATCTCAAGTGTATCAGTGCCTTTCTGCTGTAAAGGTGTGCAGAACTTGCACATTTCAGGTGGATTAAATCCAGACATAATGGCATATAAAATAATTTTTTTTTTTTGCATCAAGATTCTGTTGTTCATAAAAGAATAAATTAAAGCAAGAAATATATATTTTTCTAAGCCACAGAATTTATGTTGCCTGTTTTCCTATGGTTTTATTGTTAAATTATCCTATACCTTATAAGCACAAGCTCTGAGAAAACTTCTTGTGCAATGGGCCATTTATATTCTATCTCTTTCTCTGATGTGGGTTTTCTTGTGGCTTTATATAATAGAGTTATATTCATAGATAATATATTCTAACATCGGTGTTATCACTTAATGCAAAACACCTATTGCTTTATAGAGTATTTGCCCTATAAACTGTATCCCCAAAATCTTGTAACTAAATAATACCAGAATACAAGGAAGAAATCTGGGACATTACAAGGAGAAAGCATTGAATATATCTCCATATACTGAATACATATATATAGAGAGAATGTATGGTTTGACTAATGTATTTGTCTTACATGCTTTTTTTGTGTGTGGGTGTGTGTGAGACTAACATCCAGTCTATGGGCGGTTGTTAGATTGTAGTAAAAGCACAGACTGGGGCTGCTAGGAAGATGAGAGCTGACATTCTCCTTGATCCTATCAGCTTGAATTTGTCATTTCTCTACTGTGTTCCTTAGACTTATTCCACATCGCACATTACAGCTTGACATGAGCCATGCTAGATAATTAAGAACAAATTAAACATCTGTAGTACAAGAAAGCAGAGTTGATATAAAAGCGCAAAAATAGCATCTGAACAGAGATCTAAAACTGAACTTATCCTATTTGGAGAGAAGAATCTCTTTCTATTTCATACTGAAAATTCAAGAGATATAGGCTGTTCCTTTGGTTTTGAGGGTCTTTCTTCCCCTTAAATCTTTAGCTCCTGAACTTGGGCTGCTTAGAATTCTTTATTTGTATTAAAAAAAAATAAAAAACCCCCACCCCAAAACACTTTTTACGAATTAAAAGATAAATCTGAAAATATTCACGGATAACAGAAATATTTACCCAAATTAGTAGGTTTTGTTCTATTTTGTGTGATTTTTTTGGCAGCCAACTCATTATTTTTCACATTGGCAAAGCTTATTTGAATGCTGAGCAAGCAGGCATTGCAGGTAACTCTTTGCACCCTCCCTTCAGGTATTTATACACATAGATATGAACCCCACCCAAACCTTCTCTTCTCCAGGCTAAACAGTTCCAGCTCTCTCAGCCTTTCCTCATATGAGAGATGCTGCAGTCCCATAATCATCTTTGTAGCCCTTTGCTGAAATCTCTCCAGTAGCTCCATATGTCTTTTTTACTGAGGATCCTAGAACTGGACACAGGACTCCAGGTTTTTCCTTACCAGAGCTGAGTAGAGGGGGAGGATCACCTCCCTTGACCTGCTGTTTGCATCAAAGACCTTGCTGTAGTGAGATTTTGTGACTATACTTGTAAATTCTTCATCAGCCCCAAAGGATCTACTGAAATAACCCAGAGCCTCATGGAAGACCCAAGGCCATTCTTCAACTATAAATGAATCAGTCTGGAACTTGTTTGATAGCATGCTCTTTCCCAGGACAGGCATACATTTAAATTCTCAACAATTTCCTCAATTTTCTCAGCATCAGAGAAAAAAATAGTACAGCTAAGCTTTCAAATTTTTCCTCATAACTTTGTATGATGAGGAACTACATTTCAGAGCTCATTCTTTTAATTACAGCATAGAGAGCATTGGTAGGACACAGGGAATTCTCATTTGTCCTTTTTCTGTTCCATCCATTATGGGAGTAATTCAGACGCTGACCCTTTTTTAATTTATTGTGCTGTGTAAAAAAACCTACTGGCTTTGTCTGGCTCCTGAGATAACTAGTCTACTGGCAGGAGGGGTATCAGATGACCCTCGTTCGCTACCTTCTGTGCCTCAAAATGTGGGCTATACAAACCAGAAACATTTTGGTTATTCGTTTCTCCTATCTTTCCCTCTGCTGCCACCATATGGTTAAGCGTCAGTAAGTCAAGAGATGGTGAACTACCTGGCTTTTTAGCACGGCATTTCTCAGCTTTTGCCAGTTGTTTTTTGTGGGTTTTTTTTTTTTTTGCATTCAAAAATACCTCACATGGTAGGTGTGCATTACCGATCTTTCAGTGAAAATGTTGAAGATACATACTGTCTCAAGCAAAGGCCATGCTAGCTCTGGAGAGAGGCACCATGTGTTTGACTGTGTTTCTTATCAGCCACTTTTCTTGACTACAGGATCTGGGAATCCCCACTCCTCCAGGCTGCCAAAGAGAACAACCTCACAGCCATTAGGAAACTTCTCACTGACAGAACATGTGATATCTATCAGAGAGGTAACTTGATTATTTGTGACAAATGGTTTTCTGTGGAAGGCAAGAGCCTGCTACAGCGAGTAATATGTTTGTTAGTTTGCTAAAACATTAGCATTAGCAGACTCAACCTACTTAACTGTATGTCAGCAGCTTTGCAACGAATTGAGTTTTCTAACTTGGAGGACTCATCAAACCCTAAAGGAATGGTGAAGATCGGAGGTTTACAGCTTGAATGGGCCTTTTTTCTAGGACTGAGGGAGGTGGTTTACTGTGGAAGGTGGTTAGTGGAAGTGCTGTGTGCTCATTCACTTAATGCCTAAGTCTGCTGTCATTTACAAACACCTGCAGTCTCTGGTCCACTTTCAGATTTTGATGGGGTGAAGGACAGAGACTATGCAGTTATGTGGCTGTTACCATGTCATATGATGAGGCGACACCTGGCAGTACTCAAGGGAGGACCTAGCATTCCCATAATTCTCCACCCCAATAAAGCCATTTCTGCTTTTATCGCATATAGTTGAATGTCTAGATGACTCACATGATTCTCCTACTGTTTTTAGGTGCAGTGGGGGAGACTGCCCTTCACGTAGCTGCCTTGTATGATAATGTGGAGGCCGCAGTTACCCTGATGGAAGCAGCTCCTGACCTTGTCAATGAGATGATGACATCAGAGCTCTATGAAGGTAACGTCTCAGGGAATGAGGATGGGCAGGATTCTCTGCAGGGGGAGGGAGGAAGTGCTACCTGTACATTTAGGAAAGTAGCTTATACTGTTCCTGGTTCAGTATGTTGCTAAACTGTTACTTAGCAAAACCAACACACAAATGTCTCCTGACCATTTGTGGAAGGTGGAATTATAGTAAACCCAAGTACATACATATGCAGACATGCAAATACATAATAGACAAACCCTTAACCACAGGTGGGCCTGTTTGCTATAGTGGGATTGCAAGGGTATGTACAGTTTGCTTCCTGCCATAGTCATATATAACAAAGGGGACACCTACCAGATCTCCTCTGAAAGGAGAAAAAAATGGTTCTTTGGTTGACAAAGAATAGGGGTTGAAAGCAAATGTGGCCACTACTTTTGAGTCTAGACTCTGAGCCAGGTTTTTAAAGAATGGTTCTGATTGACTACACAGAAATGCCTGACAGAATCCTGAAGCCACTAAAATAATAACGATGGTGTTTTAAAAATTCTAATACCTAGTTTGATGGATTAGAGCAAGTCTTCTTTGGGAGCTTTGTCTTGACCTGGCCTTCATGTCCTATGAAGGAAAGTATAGTCCTTTCTGAGAGACATGAGCTTTCAGTGTGTTTCTTGGAAGAGTGTGGCATGCCTTTTTTCCCCCCAGAAAAAATCTAGAAAGTGCATCCTGTTGGTTTGGTGAGGTTTTTTTTTGGAAGGTTGTAAAGTCAGTTTTTATGAATTCATAAAAGGTTTACATAGAATGAGACCTCTGGAAAATCTGTAGTCCAACCTTCTGCACACAACAGGGATAACTTCAAAGCTAAATCATATAGCCACTGTGGATGCAGTTCCAAAAATACTTAGATTTACCATGAGTGAAATGTGAACTGCAGGCTACTGATCAACCTGAAGCTTCTTTCTTGGAAGGCAAGGTGTTATTTCTGTGTCTTACAGGGCAGACAGCTCTCCACATTGCAGCAGTGAACCAGAACATCACTTTGGTGAAGGCTTTACTCAAGAGAGGGGCCAATGCCTGCACAGCACAGGCCACTGGGCACTTCTTCAGGCGCAGCTCCCAGAATCTTCTCTATTTTGGTACAGCCTTATCTTCTCCCCTTGCTGCTATGGGAGGGAACCAGCAGAGTGATGAGGGAATATAAGGGAGGTTTGCTTTAGTCCCCATCTAAACTGGATAAGCAGAGGTTCCTGTCTCCAAGTGTCATCAGTCTCACCCATTTTAGCAGACAGTAAGACTCCATCTAAGTATGTGAATACTACATAAATATAACTATATAAATCATACACATTTTATATATTTTCATGTATATAAAAAATATATATGGCATAAGAATTATAATTTAATTTCTTCCTAGCAGCATATACTGCAACTTACTCGTCAACCTTCTTATGAAGATAATCTGAAAAGAATACTTCTTCCTTTTAGTGTTATGTGGAGCAGATCTTCTTTTCCTTTCTGAGTAGGATGAGGAGTGGGGCAGGAAATTTACAGGTTACCTGAAGTAATTCTTCCTTTCATAACTTCTGGCTTCATAGCACAGATAGCTTACCCTCAGCGTGCTTTAACCTCTCCTGCCTCCTGGAGTCTTAAAGTTGTTTCTTCCCATTCTTTTCTTTGCAGGGGAGCATGTTTTATCATTTGCTGCCTGTGTGGGAAATGAGGAAATTGTACAGTTGCTCATTGAAAATGGAGCTGATATTAGAGCTCAAGATTATCTGGGTATGTGCTGTGGGGCCTAGTGAATTGCATACAGTGGTTCTGGACACTTTAAATCAGACTCTGTCATCTGTGAATGCACATACTTTTTTCTCATTACAAACAGCTGTGGGATGAGGGATGTGAGGAAGATGAAAGCAACTGTTAATGGCATCAGTCAATTCCCAGTCTTTGCACAGGGCTGGGCTATTCCATATATTTTATCTGGTCTGCTTCCTTCATAGGTAACACTGTTCTTCACATCCTGGTTCTCCAACCTAATAAGACATTTGCCTGCCACATGTACAGCCTGATACTTTCCTATGACAGGAACAAAGAGGGACCAGGATCACTTGAATTGATTCCTAACAATGAGGGGCTTACTCCATTCAAACTGGCTGGAGTTGAGGGCAACACTGTGGTGAGTTTAA